AAGGCCCGACCGACTTTGGGGCCAGGGCTCACATCTGCCTGCGTGGCCCAGTTGCCTTGGGCCGCCAACCCCTGCAGTGGGTGCAGAGAATCACCTCACCAGCCGCTCCCTCCGTCACTTTCCTTCAAATACCTGGGCAGCGCAGTCCCGCAACCAGCCACTCCGAGGCCAAGTTTGGCCTTTGTCCCCACAGCCCTGAGTTTAAGCCAGCGGATTCACAGTAAAGACTTGCAGATGTCCCTGGCTGGTCTTCTCCAGCTGACTCTCTTGGCCAAAGGAGGCGACTGCAGGATCAGCCCCATTTAGGAAGAAGTGCCCTGGGCGACCTTTGGGTGCTTTGCAGCGTCTTAAAGTGGATGATAGGAGTGCGTGCAGTGTAATTATGCCCGTGAGTAAAAGTAACACTGGTTCCCTGCCTTTGCTGCGTGAACGGAACAGCTGAATCCTGGCCAAACTCTAAACAGTGTCCTATTTACTGATATAAATTCTCAGGGCGAAACTTCACCCTGAAGAAAGAAAATTCTCATTTATTCTTGCCTGAAGCTACATAAATGGAAATCCAAAGAGAAGAGAAGCAGCTGAGGAGCAAACGCCACTGAGGGTGGGGCTCTGTGGGAGCCATTGAAAACAATATACTGTACTTTCTGGGTCAGGGAGGCCCCACGTAGCTTTCTCTGTGTCCCCCTTCCTTTGGGGAAACAGCGTCTGTCCTCCTTTTGGATGAGAGGTTGGGAGAGAACGGGTGTCTTTGCGAACACTAAGAGGAATTCTTGGGCCGAGGGTTGCAAAGCGCTCACGCTTAACACATTTTCCAGGTTTTGCAGCTTAGCTGTGTGGTCCTGCTTGGCTCGGAGCCTGAGCTGGTCTCTCCCCCCCCAGCCGGACCCCCCTCTCACCAGTTATGGGGGAGCTTCGGCCGGCTCAGTGCCAAGGGTCCATCCCGGCTTCTGGGCCAAGTCAGGCGGCTTTCGGAAACAACCTGCTCTCGAGTCAGCGGGGCGAAACTGTGTGACGGGGATGGACCCTGCCCTTTTGCCAGTATGGCCGGGGTCACACAACACGCTGTGGTAGCTCAGTGAAAACGCTAGTGACTGTGTGCACATGCACTAAGCTTGGTTAGCATTAACCTTAGTTAGTTGGGGTCAGAGGGTGGGTCAGGATAGGAGCTGATTCAGACATGCACGTGCCAGTCGTTGAGCAAATGAAGGATTTTATTCTGGGCACTGTGATTCCTGTACTAATGAAGTCATGTGATCTGATGATACATACAAGTGAAGGTATTATTTCCCAAACTGGTATGTACAGAATAGTGTAAGAAGTATCAAAAATCAAGCGACTTGACTTAACCGACTTAATTTTCCTCCCTCCCGAGTCTTCTCCTTTATTACGGCTGCTTCTCCCCCTCCTTGTCGCGTTACCGATCCCGGGATGCCTGACGGTTCTGTCCCACTGGCGAGCAAAGCCTCCGCCCGGCGTCTGGATCTCCCTGCGCACAACGCGGCCCATCCTCCTGGTCTTTCTGAAACCTTATGAAAAAGGGCTCTTAGTTTCCATCATATTAACTACTTTACATCTGAAAACCAAAGGGATAACCCAGACACGGACACTGAGGAATCTTCACACATCTCTCTCAGACATTATCTTTACTTCTTTACATCTGAACACCAAAGGGATAACCCAGACACGGACACTGAGGAATCTTCACACATCTCTCTCAGACATTATCTTTACTTCTTTACATCTGAACACCAAAGGGATA